AAGAGAATTAACAGCTTTATGACTTCAGGTCCATGGGACCTTAGGTTCAAATTCTAATTCAATAATCTCTTCACAGTATTGTTGCCTCTTTAAAATAATTATTTATTTAATTGTTATTCATTATTATTATATATTTTTAAAATCTGACCAGAGAGAGAGGGAAAGTGAGAAGGCAAGTCGCCAGGTCTGGGGCTGCAGTCAGCCGTATGGGAGTCCAGTGCCTTAGCCACCACGCCACCTGCTGGCCTTCACAGCAGTCCTTAAACATCTATAAGCCGGGAACTGTGAATGATAATGGGGGCAGAGAACTCTCCTGAGGAGAGGGATTTATGCCTATTGTTTTTTGCCTTAATAGTCTCAGTGTCTATACAGCCTGTACGGCACACAGTCAGTGCTCAGTTAATTCTGTTGCCTGAATGGACGAAATCATCCCATGCATCTGTGATTTCTTCATGTGAGGCTATTTATATGATGCCGTTTCAGAGACGTTTCCTTGAGTAAATAAAAAAATGAGTTACTCTACGTAGGGTTCCTAGAACAATGTCTGGCAGAGAGAAATGTTCAATACTTTTGATGAATGAACAAGTATTTAAGAGAGAATGAGGAAGGACCAGCAGCTAGTGTAATGGCTATGTCGCTGGACTCCCATGTAGTGAACTGCAGAGTTTGACCATGTAGTTCAAGTCCTGGACCTGGTGGCTTAAACTCACACCAGGTGCTTGTGCGTGCCCAAGATCCCGAGAGGAGAATGGAGGAGAAGGGATTGCAGTGTGGCCATCCCCCCGGGGGGGGAGACTTCTCACTTTCTGTCTCTCTGTCTTTGTGGCGAGGGCAGCGCCCTAAAAAAAAAAATTTCTAAAAAAAAAAAAAAAAAAAAAAGGAGAGAGAGAGAGAGTGAGAATGAGGAGCCATCCCGATCCTAGTCTGGTCAGGCCTGTAACAATATACCACAGACCAGCTGGCTTAAACAACAAAAGTTTATTTTCTCACAAGTCTAGAGACTGGAAGTCCAAGATCAAGGTGCCATTGGGGTTAGTTTCTGGTAGAGGCTCTCCTCTTGGCTTGCAGATGACCATCTCCTTCCTCTGTTCTCACATGGCCTCTTCTCTGTGCTCAGGGCAGGGATGGGGGTGAAGAGGAGAGAGACAGAGAGAGAAGAGAGAGAATGCTCTGGAGTCTCTGTCTTCTTTTTTATTTTTCTTATCATTTTGCTATAGAACATGTGCACTTGTCAGAGAGAGACAGAGAGAGATGGTGAGGGGAGTAAGAAAGCACCCCACAGGGAGAATGGTACATCATAATACCTTCTCCTCCATTCTCCTTTTGGGATCTTGGGCAGCCACGCACATGCACCCGGCATGTTTTACAAGCTGCTGGATCCTGGACCTGAACCACACAGTTGGCCATGTGGGATCCAACTAACTTAACTGCCACCACACCAAGTCTCTTCTTTTTGTAAGGACACCAGTTCTATCTGACTGAGGCCCACCCTATGGCCTGATTTAGCCTTTATTTCTTCCTTTAGGCCTATCTCGTAATACTTAATCCCAATTTTACAAATACAAGGTTAAATGACCTGCCCAAATCAAGCAGCTAGGAAAAGGTAGAGCTGAGCTTACAGCTCAAATCTCCTGAAATCAGGTCCAAGAAAGGCTTTCCTAAGGCAGGTGTCCTTGGTCTTTGGAGACCAAACCCTCCAGAGAAATCCTTCATTTGCAACTACAGCCCAGAGCTTAGGTCTATGGTAGGCACCACGAGGTCCTACACATCCTTCAGATTCACATCCTTCAGATTCTTTTCTTCTTCTTCTTCTTCTTCTTCTTCTTCTTCTTCTTCTTCTTCTTCTTCTTCTTCTTCTTCTTCTTCTTCTTCTTCTTCTTCTTCTTCTTCTTCTTCTTCTTCTTCTTCTTCTTCTTCTTCTTCTTCTTCTTCTTCAGCAAGAAATCACCCCCCGGGGGGATGGTCATGCTGCAATCCCTTCTACTCCATTCTCCTCTTGGGATTTAGGACATCCACGTACACATACCTGGTGTGAGTTTTAAGCCGCCAGGTCTGAGACTCACACTGCAGTAGACTACATGGGAGTCCAGTGACACAATTCGTTGGTCCCAGATTCTTCTTCTTTTTTTTTTTTTTTTAAGTTTTTGCTTTTAAGGTGATTATGCATGCTGGAGAGAAGGAGAGAGAGAGAAGGTAAGAAATCACCCCCTAGAGGGACAGCCACACCACAATCCCTTCTCCTCTCAGGATTTTGGGCACGCATGCACATAAACCCGGCATGAGCTTCAAGCTACCAGGACCAGGACTCAAACCTCACTGTCAGCCATGTAGGATCCAGCCGTCCCAAACGCCATGCCACGAGCTGGCTCTCCCATCTTTCAGATTTTTCTGTGGAACCCAAGCACAGGTAGGCAGGAATACAGGACTCTCAGCAGCCTCTGCAAGAGGCCCTCACACCTGAGCCGGAGCCTCACCATGTTTAAGCCACATTGGGGTGTTGGGCTTTGACATATAACCTTGGGGGTGGGTCTGGACTATTTCAGTCCAGATAGTTGCAACGAACTATATTTATACAGAGAAAACTGCCTATACAAAAGCACTGAGCAGGAAGGGCCGTGTCTCAGAATAGCTCAGAAAAAGCCAGAGGGTTTGGTCTTCAAGAGAGAGGAGTGGTTGGGGTTAGCAAGGCTGAGTGCACCATCATAAAGAGTTTGGCTTCTCCCTGCACGTACGCAAGCCATTGCAGGGTTTAGGGTGAAGAGTAACAAATGGAATTTTGCCCTGGCTGCAGCATGAAGAATAGATGGGAAGGGGCAGAAATGCACACAGAGCTGGTTCAGGCAGGAAACGGGGGTGACTCCAATCAGAGCCTGGCAGTGGAGAGAGGGAGGACAGATTCAAGCCTTGTCCTTGAGGCCGAATTAACAGAGCCTGAGAATGCCTGGAAAACAAGGGTGAGGCGGCAGGGAGTTGCCATAGAAAATCCCAGAATTCTGACAGAACAGCGCATGCCCACCACTCCATCTTTCGCTCCTAGTTGTGAGAATTGAACGAGTTACATAGTAGAACTATGCCTGACACATTGCTGTCATTGTCATTGTAGTTATTATCCATTTACAGTGTTGATAGAGATCTTTTTACTCATCCAGTATTTGTAATTTTTTTAAGAGAGATTTTTGCTATAGAGCATGTGCGCTCACCAGAAAGACAGAGAGAGACAGAGAGACAGAAAGTGAGAAATCACCCCCCAGGGGGGATGACCCACCGCAATCCCTTCTGCTCCATTCTCCTCCGCCTATTGTCGGCACACACGCACACATGTCTGGCCTGAGTTTTAAGTTACCAGATCTAGGACTTGAACCATGGTCGACTACGTGGGAGTCCAGCCACATAACCATGATATCATCAGATGGCCCCACTCATCCAGTATTATTAATGGACTCAATCCATCTAATGAAGAATAACAGTTTCTGTCCTCACCCCTGTCTGGAGCTGCTGCCCGGAGCCCAGCCTACCCAACCCTCTGCCATCTTTCCCTTCTCTGTGATATGAGCTCGGTTTCCTCATCTATAACATGGGGAAAGGATCTCTGTTCTGAAGAGTCAAAAGGTTGACTGTATCCTGTAAAGTACTGGAAACATCCGACGAGGAGGTGACCACCCCTCCAAGGGAAGCCTGTTAAAGGGCTAGAAGACCCTCCAGGTGAGCCCATTTGCCTCCGGCGAGGCGGCGCGGCGTGACATTCCTCCTCCGCAACAACAGAGGGCGATGTGACCTTCTGCAGGCCCGTCCGACCACGGAGGCGGCGCTCTGGCCCCGGAAGTCTTTCCCCTCCACGTGGGGACGCAGGATGGCGGCGGCTGTGGCGGTGGGTGTGCGTGGATGGAGGCGGGGGCGTCACGGCTCTGCTCTAGACCCGGGCCGGGACACCGCAGGGAGGCAAAGCGGGGGTCTGTGGGTCTGGCTGACGCTGCCTCCGCTTGTTCGCGCAGGACGAGGCGGCGGCGGCGCGCGACGTGCAGCGGCTGCTGGTGCAGTTCCAGGATGAGGGCGGGCAGCTGCTGGGCTCTCCGTTCGACGTGCCCGTGGACATCACCCCGGACAGGCTGCCGTTCCCGTGGACAGCCCCCCGGACAGGCTGCAGCTCGTGTGCAACGCGCTGCTGGCCCAGGTGAGTGAGCGTCAGGATTTTGGGCACGCATGCACATAAACCCGGCATGAGCTTCAAGCTACCAGGACCAGGACTCAAACCTCACTGTCAGCCATGTAGGATCCAGCCGTCCCAAACGCCATGCCACGAGCTGGCTCTCCCATCTTTCAGATTTTTCTGTGGAACCCAAGCACAGGTAGGCAGGAATACAGGACTCTCAGCAGCCTCTGCAAGAGGCCCTCACACCTGAGCCGGAGCCTCACCATGTTTAAGCCACATTGGGGTGTTGGGCTTTGACATATAACCTTGGGGGTGGGTCTGGACTATTTCAGTCCAGATAGTTGCAACGAACTATATTTATACAGAGAAAACTGCCTATACAAAAGCACTGAGCAGGAAGGGCCGTGTCTCAGAATAGCTCAGAAAAAGCCAGAGGGTTTGGTCTTCAAGAGAGAGGAGTGGTTGGGGTTAGCAAGGCTGAGTGCACCATCATAAAGAGTTTGGCTTCTCCCTGCACGTACGCAAGCCATTGCAGGGTTTAGGGTGAAGAGTAACAAATGGAATTTTGCCCTGGCTGCAGCATGAAGAATAGATGGGAAGGGGCAGAAATGCACACAGAGCTGGTTCAGGCAGGAAACGGGGGTGACTCCAATCAGAGCCTGGCAGTGGAGAGAGGGAGGACAGATTCAAGCCTTGTCCTTGAGGCCGAATTAACAGAGCCTGAGAATGCCTGGAAAACAAGGGTGAGGCGGCAGGGAGTTGCCATAGAAAATCCCAGAATTCTGACAGAACAGCGCATGCCCACCACTCCATCTTTCGCTCCTAGTTGTGAGAATTGAACGAGTTACATAGTAGAACTATGCCTGACACATTGCTGTCATTGTCATTGTAGTTATTATCCATTTACAGTGTTGATAGAGATCTTTTTACTCATCCAGTATTTGTAATTTTTTTAAGAGAGATTTTTGCTATAGAGCATGTGCGCTCACTAGAGAGACATAGAGAGACAGAATGACAGAAAGCAAGCAATCATCCCCCATGGGGGATGACCCACAGCAATCCCTTCTGCTCCATTCTCCTCCGCCTATTGTCGGCACACACGCACACATGTCTGGCCTGAGTTTTAAGTTACCAGATCTAGGACTTGAACCATGGTCGACTACGTGGGAGTCCAGCCACATAACCATGATATCATCAGATGGCCCCACTCATCCAGTATTATTAATGGACTCAATCCATCTAATGAAGAATAACAGTTTCTGTCCTCACCCCTGTCTGGAGCTGCTGCCCGGAGCCCAGCCTACCCAACCCTCTGCCATCTTTCCCTTCTCTGTGATATGAGCTCGGTTTCCTCATCTATAACATGGGGAAAGGATCTCTGTTCTGAAGAGTCAAAAGGTTGACTGTATCCTGTAAAGTACTGGAAACATCCGACGAGGAGGTGACCACCCCTCCAAGGGAAGCCTGTTAAAGGGCTAGAAGACCCTCCAGGTGAGCCCATTTGCCTCCGGCGAGGCGGCGCGGCGTGACATTCCTCCTCCGCAACAACAGAGGGCGATGTGACCTTCTGCAGGCCCGTCCGACCACGGAGGCGGCGCTCTGGCCCCGGAAGTCTTTCCCCTCCACGTGGGGACGCAGGATGGCGGCGGCTGTGGCGGGGGGGGGGCGGGGGGGGGGGGGGGGGGGGGCCGGGGCTCGTGTGCAACGCGCTGCTGGCCCAGGTGAGTGAGCGCCCGGCCTCTCCCCGGGGCAGACCTGCTGGGGGGTCGGGAGACCGAGGTCTGTGGCTCAGGGCCCCCCATTCCTCACCGCCGTCACCGACAGAGGTTGACCACCTGGCCTGACCCGGGCCTACTCCTGGAGATGGCCAGGAAACGAGTCAGTGTGAAAGCTTGGCATGCCGGCCGTCGGAGGCCACTGCGGAGCGGCGGCGTTTTGAGATCAATGGGTGCGCTCTTCCTTTGATTCCTCGTCGCGCCCTCTCAGGACGGAACACTTTGAGATCCCCGTTGCTCAGTGGGGCCCTCAGGGGTTAAATTCTTATTTGCAGGATGCTACGCAATAAGTGGCGGATTTGGAATCGTAACCCAAGTCTGTCAGATTTCAAATCCCATGCGCTGAACTTCCACACCAGTGTTTACGAAATTGCTGCCCTCTCTTGGTCACAGAGGGTGTTTACACGTTTATCAATACTTCCGGTCCCTCCCCAGATTTAGTAATCCAGACTCGGGGAGTGAAGCAGAGTCTGCATCTTTAACCAGCTTTTTGGATGCTTCTTACACAAATAGAGCATAGTATTTTGTGATTTAAATTTTTTTAAGATTTATTTATTTTTAATTATGTTTATTATCATTATTCTTCAATTTTGACCAGAGAGAGACAGGCAGAGAGAAAGGGAGAGTGAGAAAGCAAGCTTCCAGGTCCAGGACTTGAACCGTGGTCAGCCATGTGGGAGTCCAGCGCCTCAACCACCACCCTACCTGCCAGCTCCAGTATTGTGGTTTAACCTTAGTCCTGGACTTCAGTGTTTTTTTTCAAAGACTAAAGAACCTGAAGTAGGCATTAGCAATAGAACATGGAACTGATTCTTCACTTCTCCCAGCCTCTGTTTTTTTAACCTGTCAAGTGGGACTATTAATATACTTCTCAGGGTTGTGAGATGCAGATAAAGGATTTCTAAGTTCTATACAAGTTTCTTTTATTTTTAAAAATTATTTTATTTTATTTGTTCATTCATTTATTTTAATTTGACCAGAGAAAGACACACAGAAATTGTGGTTGAGAAAGCAAGCCACCAGGTCTGGAACGTGAACCGTGACCAGCCCTGTGGGGTTTACCCAGCCCCTTAACCTTCGCGCTACCTGCTGGCCCCGTTAAACAAGTTTCATACCGTTGCTCTTCAAGGATTAAAAAGGTCTCAAGTCCAGATGGTCGGGGCTCGCGAAGGGATCAAGATGCCTTTGGCTAGAGATTTACTACATCCGTCCTTGGAAGAGGAAAAGAAAAAACATAAAAAGAAACGGCTAGTTCAAAGTCCAAATTCTTACTTCATGGATATAAAAATGTCCAGGCTGGCACAAGATCACTATGGTCCCCTGCCTCAACTCTGTCCTGTCTTTTCAGACTCACCCCCTTCCACAAGCGACACGGCACACCGGGGAAAGGCCAGACTCACAGAAGGTTGTTCATTTAGAAGAAAGCAACACTAATGATCTACGCAACTTGCTAAATTTGTTGTTTTCTCACAGAAAGCCTTATCATAAGTTCAGTAATTCTAGTTAATCTGCCAAGATAATCAAGATAATGTAATTATGTTTGATTTTATAAGGTATACAACAGTGATCTCCTATTTTGGTGTCAGTATTTCAATAAACTTTTGATTATGACTAAAAAAAAAAAGTCTCAAGTCGGGGGCCAGTGGGTGGCATGGTGGTTAAGGTGTTGGACACTCCCACATGGCTGACCACGGTTCGAGTCCTGGACCTGGTGGCTTGCTTTCTCACTTTCCCTCATTCTCTTTCTGTCTCTCTCTGGCCAAATTTAAAAATAAGTGAATGAATAAATAAAATTAAATAAATAATTCTTAAAATTAAAAAAAAGTCTCAAGTCAGTGGGGAGTGATGGGGATATCCCAAGCAGGATGACTGCAAGGAAGATCGCATCATCTCCAACAAGTGGAGGGAGAGATGCTGGCAGAGGTGGCTGCTGCAACTCCTCTGATGGGAGACTTGCCCTTTACCTTTGCCTTCCAGGAAGATCCCCTGCCGTTGGCTTTCTATGTCCATGATGCCGAGATCGTCTCCTCACTGGAGAAGACTCTGGAGTCCCAAGCAGTGGAAACAGAGAAGGTCGTAGACATCATCTACCAGCCCCAGGCTATCTTCAAGGTCCGGGCTGTGACCCGCTGCACCAGCTCGTTAGAGGGCCACAGTGAGGCGGTCATCTCTGTGGCCTTCAGTCCCACGGGAAAGTAAGTACAACTGCAGTATCTCGGTGGGTGTGGGAGGGTGCAGCCTCTGGCTAGGGTGTCAAGTGTCCCCAGAGTTACGATTGATAGGGCCTCATGCTGCCTACCATAGACCTGAGCTCTGAGCTCACTTTGCATGTAAGAGACTTCCTCCGTGGGGTTTAGTCACCAAAGACCAAGGACACCTGCCTTGGGAGAACCTTTCCTGGACTTTACTTCAGGCAATGCAAGCTGCAAGCTCAGCTCTGCCCTTCTAAGTTGTGTGACGGACAAGTCACCTTTCCCCTTTCTGAATTAATTTTTCCCCTGCAAAACTGGGATTGATTTCTTCTCGTCCTACAAGAAGTTTCGAAAGCTGGTTATAGCTGTGGCTGTTCCTATCAGGAAGAAAGAGGAAAGAAGTGACCATCTGGATTTCTCCCAGGGACATCAGTGTTATACTTCTTGGGGGAGAGAAGAGAATCTAGTCCCGAATTCAGTTCCCAGACAATGATTGAATGGGTGGCAGCAATGCACACATGCAGTATCTTGGGGTGGGCCCCCTCTGTCACCTACTGCTACAGAGGTCCAGTAGCTTTTCTTCTTCCCAGGTACCTAGCCAGTGGCTCTGGAGACACTACTGTGCGCTTTTGGGATCTCAGCACAGAGACGCCACATTTCACTTGCAAGGGTCAGTATGCAGTTAACCACATAGGGCGTCTGCCGCAATGGTGGGTGGCTGATTTGCTCAGCTCTGTAGTTCCTGAGCAGGCTCAGAGCAAATTTGAAGCCTTCAACATCCAGTTAGCAGCTGCCCATTTCCGGGTAGAGACGATACCCTTGAGCCTATCCTGCCACTCACAAACAAGCAGGGACCAGACCAAAGTTGTGGGGAGGGGCTGACTGGCTAGTAAATTAAGCAAAGAGAATCTGGTTTAAATCCAGCTTCTGCTACAGTGATTCTCAAACTTTGGCGTGCATTAAGAATCACCTGGAGGACTTGTTAAGATGCAGATTGCTAGGTCCTACCCCCAGAGTTTTTGTTAAGGACGAGGTCTGAGAACTTGCATTTGAACAAGTACGCAGGTCACGTTGCTGGTCTATGCACCAGATCTGAAAACACACACTGTACCACAGGCTAGCTGGGTGACTTCTTGGAGGTGGGGGGAGGAAGGGCATGCTTCCTGTCTGAGCTTCAGTTTTCCCACCTGGAAGACAGGAGTGATCATCTTGCTTTGCTCTGTACCTTAGCAAGAATTATAAGGGGTGATGTGCTGTGACTACTTTATGCCATGCATCACTGAGAGCAGTTATCTGTGTAGCAAGATGCATAGCTATAGTACTTGGGTGTGTTCTCCTTGGCCTAGAAAGCCGCCTTTTGTCCCATCATTCATTTGTTCAGCAAGTGGTTAAGGAATACCTGCAACATCCCAGGCACTGTGCTGAGCCCTGGGGATGAAGATAGATGTGGCCCTTCATTTCTCCCTCGCCTGCTTTCTCAGGACACAGACATTGGGTCCTTAGCATATCCTGGTCCCCAGATGGCAAGAAGCTGGCCTCAGGCTGCAAGAATGGCCAGGTAGGTGGTGGTGAGGATAGTTGGACAGGAAACCAGGGCTCTGTCCCTGGGGGACAGTTCAGAATCAGGTTCTGGGATCTTCAGGGAAGATTAGGGGGGACTAGAGACCTGTTGGGAGGGTTATTTGTTGATCTTTTATCCTTCAGATTCTCCTGTGGGACCCAAGCACAGGGAAGCAGGTGGGCAGGACCCTTGCCGGCCACAGCAAGTGGATCACGGGCCTGAGCTGGGAACCCCTCCATGCGTAAGTGGCACATGAGCCGGACAGATGAGGGGCTGGGGCCAGAGCTGTTCCCTTCCTACTCTGCGTGGTGGGCAGCTTGAGCGATGGTGATAACTTTGCAGGCAGTGGGGGAGGCATTCCAGTTCCAGATCTGTGGGGCAGCGTGCGGGGAGATCCACGCATTGTCACAGCATTGGAGCTCCGCCTTGCAGTGCAGCTAGGCGTAGGGCCATAGGCGTAGGGCCATAGGCGTAGGGCCAGGAAGCTGTCAAGAGATCATCCCTAGCCTTTGAGTTGGGAATGAGGCGTCAGGCAGGCGCGCACTGCCAGGTTAAGGTGAGGGCACATCTCCCCTTCTATTCCCAGGAACCCTGAGTGCCGCTACGTGGCCAGCAGCTCCAAAGATGGCAGCGTGCGAGTCTGGGACACAACCTCTGGCCGCTGTGAGCGCATCCTCACCGGGCACACCCAGTCGGTCACCTGTCTCCGGTGGGGAGGGGATGGGCTTCTCTACTCTGCCTCCCAAGACCGCACCATCAAAGTCTGGAGGGCTCAGGATGTAAGAGCTGTGGGGATTCAGAAACAAGTTTGTCGGTCATGGGATTCTGGCCCTCAAAGGGACCTGGGTTCCCCAAATGTGGGCTGGGTGCCTCAGTCAGAGGAGTGCTTACGGAAAAGGGGGTTCTGTGGTTGATGCTACACTGTGGTAGAGATTCCAGCAGCCCTGTTAGTTTGTTCAGGTGTTGGAAATTCTTGCTGTGGGGAGGCTTTTTGGTTGTATCGATCCTATTAGTCCCAAACTCATTGGAGTGGAGCCCGTATATTCTGACATATTTCATTTCTTCCATGAAACAGTTTCAGGAACATTGATCTGAACCAGTGCCCTTATACAAATGAAGAGAGAATTGAGACCAGAGAGGCGATTTGATTAAGATCACAGTGAGGGGCTGATAGGCAGCATGGTGGTTAAGGCATTGGATTCCCACATGGCTGACTGCAGTTCGAGTACTGGACCTGGTGGGAGAAACTGTCTCTCTCTGGTCAAATTAAACAATAATAATAATGGTAAATAAAATTAAATAAAAATATTTAAAAAGAAAACTCAGAGGGACTGGCAGGTGGTGTAGTGATTAAGATGCTGGACTCCTACATGGCCAACTGTGGTTTGAGTCCTAGATCTGGCAGCTTGCCTTCTCACTCTCCCTCTGTCTCTCTGTCTCTCTCTGGTCAAGTCGAATAATAATAATAATAAATAAAATTAAATGATTCTTAAAAATAAAAATCACAGTGAAAGAGTGATGAAACTTCAGGGCTTTGATTCACAGACCTGTATCCCCTGTCTCCTGGAGCTGATCTCCCTAGGGTGCTTGTGTGCACATATGTGGGACTGACCTGTCTCCCTCTATCCTAGGGTGTGCTGTGCCGGACTCTGCAAGGCCATGGCCACTGGGTGAACACCATGGCACTCAGCACTGACTACGCCCTGCGCACAGGGGCCTTTGAACCCGCTGAGGCCTCAGTTAATGCCCAGGATGTCCAGGGGTCCTGTGAGTGAGCCGAAGGAGAAGAGGAAGAGGGCTTCTTGGAAGGAGCCAACTCTCTAGTTTAATGGGGGATGTTTGCTGTTGTGTTGGATTTTCTAATCAGCCTGTTCCTCATCTCTTCCTCCTTCCGTGGTACCTGGACACAGTGCAGGAGTTGAAGGAGAGGGCACTGAGCCGATACAACCTCGTGCGGGTAAGTGTGGGCTAGCTGCCTGCAGACACTCAGACCCTGCTTTCTTCCACCCCAACCCAGAATGCACCTGTTCCAAAAATCTTCTCAATAATGAGAGTTCATAATTATAAAACCTTAATGTGCTAGAGGATCATTTTTTGTTTGTTTGGCTTATTTTCTTGTCTATTTATTACATTTCCAAGGTACCTCTTTTTTTTGTTTGTGGTTGAGTTATTTTATTTAGTGGTTTGTTTGTTTGTTTTTTTGTTTTGTTTTATAAGGGTTTTTTTTTTTTTTTGGTCTAGGGTGCATGCACTTTCCAAAGAGACAAACAGAAACAGAAAGTGAGAAATCACCCCCTGGGGGAATGGCCACGCCCCAGTCCCTTTTCCTACATTCTCTGTTGGGATCTTGGGCATGCACGCACATGTGCCCAGCGTGAATTTTAAGCCACCAGGTCCTAGATCAAACTGTGGTCAACTACGTGAGAGTCCAGCAACATAACCATTACACCATCTACTGATTCCTTGTTTAGTATTCTTTATGCATCCTTCAAGGGATGGCCTTGCTGCAGTCCCTTCTCATTCTCCTCTCAGGATCTTGGGCATGCATGCACACACACCTGGTGTGATTTTCAAGCTTCCAGGTCCAGGATTCAAACCATGGTTGGTCTTAATCTCCATACCACTTCCTAGCCCCAAATCCTTCCCCTTTTAAACATACCATTCTGTATTTGCTTTTTTTGTGTTACTATAGTAATTTTTCAGTATCAGAAGGGATTGGTTCCAGGACCCCCATGGATACCAAAATCCATTGATACTTAAGTCTAATATAAAATGATAAAGTATTTGCATATAATTTATGTACTTCCTTCTGTACTTTAAATCATCTTTAAAGTATAATAATTCAGTATAATACTGAATACGATGTAAATGTTATGTTAATAGTTGTACTGTGTTCTGCAGGGAATAACAAGAAAAAAATTTTGTACATGTTCAGTACAGATGCAACCAGTTTTTTCCAAATATTTTTGAACTGGAGTTAGTTGAATCTACAGATGTAGAACCTGCAGATACTGAAGGCTGACTATAACTTCAAATCATTCCATGTGCATATATAATAGTTTTCATTTTCTTTTTGGCAAAGAGAGTTAACTGAGGTCACGTGTGAGCTAGTGGCTGACCCAGGTCTCATTTCTGCTAGCCTTGGCCTCAGTCTGTCCCTGGTGTGGAGTATGAGGTGTGAGGTGTGTGTATGTTTGCTGCCAACGCTCTCCTCCTGAGACTCCATCTGACACATGTGCTCTTGCCTCCACTAGGGCCAGGGCCCAGAGAGGCTGGTCTCTGGCTCAGATTACTTCACCTTATTCCTGTGGTCCCCAGCAGAGGACAAGAAGCCACTGGCACGGATGACAGGACACCAGGCCCTCGTCAACCAGGTGCTCTTCTCACCTGACTCCCGCCTCGTGGCCAGTGCCTCCTTCGACAAGTCCATCAAGCTGTGGGATGGCAGGACGGGCAAGTGAGTGCAGACGGGTGGGCGCTGCCCCAAAATATTCACCCCTCTGAAAGGGTAAACCATGGAAGCAGCCAGGTGCTGCCACTTGCTAGCTCTGTGGCTTTGGCAAGCATGTGAGTTTTCTGAACCTCTGTCTCTTCTGTAATATGCAAACGCCCCACCTCACTCAGATCAAGTAAGATGGTATATTTGGAACTAGCACTAAGTGGGTGCTGAAAATGCTAGTTCATTTCATAAGTAAGGAAAGAAATTACCTTAGAGCCAGCCTAAAGGCGGGAGCACATAACCCGGGAGAAGATGAAGTGGGGGTTTGTGGTACATTTGTCTTTCTGACCCTTCATAAAATGTGATCCACTGCCCAGCAGCATCAGTGTTAACCGTGTACTTGGTAGAAATCCTGAGCCCTAGGTCAGCAGGTTGCGTCGTGGTTAAGGTACTAGATTCCCACATGGTTGACGGTCGTTCTGAATCCCGGACCTGGAAGCTTAAAATTCATGCCAGCTGCACGTGCATACGTGCTTAAAACCCCAGGGGGAGAATGGAGGAGAAGGGACTGTGGTATAGCCATCCCCTCTGGGAGGTGATTTCTCACTTTCTCTCTCTCCAGCAAGCACATGCACCCTATAGCAAAAATCTAAGAAAAAAGAAATCTTGAGCCCCGGGCCAGCAGGTGGCATGGAGGTTAAGGCAGCTGGATCCCACATAGCTGCCTCCATGGTTTAAGTCCCTGACCTGGTGGTTTGAAAATCACACTAGGCAGGTGTTTTTGCATGCCCAAAATCCTGAGAGGAGAATGGAAGAAAAGGGATTGCAGGTGGCCATCCCCCTGAGGGGTGATTTCCCACTTTCCCTTTCTGCCTGTCTCTTTCCAGCAAGGACATGCACTCTATAGCCAAAAGGAAAAGAAAAAAATCTTGAACCCCACCCCCACTATGTGAATTGGATTCACTAGTTTAACCAGGTCCCTGGGTAAATTTGAGAGGCCCTTGTGTAGTGAGGGCCGCTCATTAGGTTGGAGGACAGGCAAAGGCATGGGCAAGGAGAGGAAGGGCCAGGACACACTTGGGGCTGGAGGGAACCCGTGTGCCAGTCACCATCAGTGTTACACAGCACGCTAGGAAATAGGAAACTGGCGTCACAGAGGCCTGATGACTCGTGCACAGACACACAGTGAGCCTGTATTGACTTGAAAGCTCCAGGTGGGCCTGCCCCACTGTTGCTCCATGCCACCTGCCCACCAACACCTGCTGTGTGGGGGAGGAGGTCAGGCAGGTGGGCTAAGCAGATGGCCACAGTGGATTCTGAGGCTTACAAAGTTGTGCAGGTACAGAGGGCCTGGCAAGAGGCACCCTCAAAGCAACTCATTTGGAGAAGTTTTATGAACTAGTCATGACCGCTTGTGATTAAAATGGCCTGATGTGGAGAGTGCGGGCACCAGGCCGTGTGATTCTGTAAAAGTTCCCAGGTGCTTCTAGCATGCAGCCAAGGTGGAGAACTGTCACGCTGGGCGTAGGGGACCCTTCAGACATGTCTGAGCATCTTCACTTCCCCCTGGCCCAGGTACCTGGCCTCCCTGCGTGGCCACGTGGCTGCCGTGTACCAGATTGCGTGGTCAGCTGACAGCCGGCTGTTGGTCAGCGGCAGCAGTGACAGCACACTGAAGGTGTGGGATGTGAAGACCCAGAAGCTGGCCATAGACTTGCCAGGCCACGCGGATGAGGTAAGGAGGCCCCACAGCAGCAGAGGGGTGGCGGTCATGGCCTGGCGCTGTTGCCTTCACCATCCCACTTTCCCTCCTTCCCGGTGCAGGTTTATGCTGTCGACTGGAGTCCAGATGGCCAGAGAGTGGCCAGTGGCGGGAAGGACAAGTGCCTCCGGATGTGAGTGGGGTGCAGCGTGTTGGGCTCTTCTGCCCCATGTCGGTCCCTCCTTCTCTTCTGGTATAGCGTTCCCAGGTGCCCTGCAGGTGCTCAGCCTGTCCTGAGGAAGTGTGTGGGGTTCTCAGTGTGCCAGTGGGGGGGGCTGCAGGAATTAAGGGGATTACAGGAAGCCAACGGTCCTCAGGCCACTCTGCAGGGGGCACGTTCAGGGTCTCTCTCATGTAAGACAGTAGTTCTTTGCTTGAGCCCTGGACATTGGAGTACTGAGCCGTAAGTTCAAATCCTGGTTCTGCCTTTCAGTGTGCAATCAGAATTATGGCTAACGTGTTTCTTGGGAATTATCAAGTTTTTATAGACGGGATTAACGATTGGAGGGGGGAGCCACTCAGAAAGGATTGTCACTGCTTGGTGATGGGCATTCTGGGGCCAGGCCCTGGGTTAAGGTCCTGGCCCAGCAGGCAGTGGGGGCATGACCCGAGTGTGGGTCCTAACATGGATAGTACTCTGATTCTTGGTGACTCTTGAGGGTGAACTGTGGGTGTCCCCTCAGGGGGCTCCGGGACTACCTGGCAGCCTCTTCTTTGTGAGGTGGGGTCCCCATCTTCATGGAGATCCCTAGCCTGACTCCCTCCCCTTCCCCACAGATGGAGGAGATGAAAAGCCCCACAGCTCTCCCGGCTCCCACCTGGACTGCACCCCTGCAGCTGCCTGCCCTGCCGGAGAACCAGGGCAGGGGTTGGCAGTGCACATTTCCCCTCACCAGTGGTGACCTGAGAACATGCAGCCTGCTGTCGACAGACCTCTGGGATGTCTCCCCACAGGGCCCCGCCTGTGCCAGACTCTGAGGCAGAAATCAAGGGGTACAGGAGGTTATCCCCAAACTCAGCCAGGGCTGCCACCTTGCTGGCACTGGCGGTGGGAGGAGCCAGCCCTATGCCTGGGTCTTTGCTACCCTGCTCCTTCCCAAACGCAGCTCTGCGCTGGGTCTTTGCTACCCTGCTCCTTCCCAAACACAGCTCTGCACAGGGTCACACCCCAGATCTGTGACTAAATAAATAACTTCTATTTTGTGTGTTTGAGTTGTAATTCCTTGACCTGACACAACTAAGGACTCTGGCACAACTAAGGACTCTGCTGAATCAGTGTCTTCCCACATTGAGCGGGAAACTGCCTGTCCTCTCTTCCCCATGCCTGTAATGAAGGGGACAGTGAGAGAGTGGCCAGAGGACGTCAGGCTGGACTGTCCACTGGTGGGCACAAGCCACATGGATGACCGTTGAATGTACGTAGGTAGACATGCCATTCTGTCGCACTGGCTGCGGGTCGCAGTATCGGACTGCATGGGTGGAGAATGTCTTTAACACAGGGCTGGCCCCATAGCATAGTTATTAAGGGATTTGGATCCCACATGGCTGGCAGGTGGTTCCAGTCCTAGTCCCAGCTACTGGAAAACACTGGGTACCTGTATATGCGTGTCCTGAGTCCCAAAGGAATGGAGAAATGGAAAAGAAGGAATTATAGGGTGATCATACCCCATTGAGGAGTACTCGCCCCCTCTGTCTCAGATGAGTGCATGTGTCCTTTGGCAAGATTAAAAAAAAAAAAATTATTGTCACAGAGTTCTCTGGGGACTGCTTTGGCATTGGAAGTTCGCTTCTCCAGATAGAAGAAGACATTGGCAATCTAAGATCCCTCTCATGGTGGCAGTGGTATGATTCGATGCTGTGAAGCATGAGCAGATGGGTGGTGTGATAGGATGGTCTGTGCCCTATGAGAACTTTATTTTTTTTATTTGCTATAAGGCATGTGTGCCTGCTGGGGGAGAGAGCGAGGGAAAATGAGAAAGCACCTCCGGGGGAATGGCCACATCGCAATCTCTATTCTCTCAGGATTTTGGATGTGGCATGCACGTGCGCCTTGCGTGTTCAAGCTGCCGAGTCTTGGGCTCGCACCACAGCCATGTGGTATCCAGCCACTTTAACCACCACACTACCAGCTGGCCTGAGAACTTCGAAGACCTGAAGGAGTCCCCACCTCAGGCCCTGGACAAGACCTCAGCCTATGTGCACCTGCCTCCAGCTCTGCAGCGGAGGTGAGGCTGGCTCCTAGTATAAGCTACTCAGGTTGGGCTTCCAAACCCCTGGTGTGAACTGCTCAGGGCCACAACACTTTGAGGGCCTTCACCTTCTCCCCTCTGCCCCTGCCCTGTACATGTATGATTTCACATCTCACTAGCTGCGGCTCTCAGCTTGCATTCGCTGCTTCTCTGCGGTGAGGCTGCATGAGGGGCGAAGGGAGCCACCAGTTGCTGAGCTTCTGCCTTGTACTGGACACTTGCTCTTTGCACACAGGAGTCGCTTAGTAATCCTGCACCCATGCCTGGAAGGTTCCACATCCTCACTGTGGATGAGTCAACAGCCCAAGAAGCGTAAAAGATTTGCCTATGCTCTCATACCCACAAAGAGGAAGAGCCAGGATCAAACCAGACCCCAGCCTGAGCTTGTACACTGTGCCTCGTTCCAGAGCTCAGATCTGGCACTGACAGTCTCCAGGCCACACCACGTCTGCCCACCATCATGGTATAAGAGTGTTAGTCTAGGGCCCAGCAGGTGGTGGCGTGCTTAAGGGCACTGGACTCCCACATGGCCAACTATGGTTCGAGTCCCAAACCAGGCAGCTTACTTTCTCACTTTCCCTCTCCCTCACTCTGCCCCTCTCTGGTCAATTTTTTTTTTTTTTTGAGAGGTTTTCGCTATAGGGCGTGTGCGCTCGCCGGACAGACAAAGAGAGACAGAGAGACAGAAAGTGAGAAATCACCCCCCAGGGGGGATGGCCCCGCCGCAATCCCTTCTCCTCCATTCTCCTCTCGGGATCTTGGGCATGCACGCACATGCGCCCAGCGTGAGTTTAAGCTACCGGGTCCAGGACATGAACCGCAGCTGACTACGTGGGAGTCCAGCAACATAGCCATTACGCTAACTGCTGGTCCCTCTCTGGTCAAATTTAAGAAAATAAAGTTAAATAATTCTTTAAAAAAATAAGAGTGTGAGTATGGGTCTACAGGGGGAGGGTCTCCTCCCCACAGGGGGTGGTGGTGACATTTCAGTGGGTTCCACCCCTCACCTCCACCCAACCTCTTGGTCCTGGCAGAAGTCAGAAGTTGGTGGCAGCCAGCCCATCTGAGGCTGTCCACAGCAGGAAGCAGAATTTGAGTGCTGGATGGCCTGCAGGTCTTTAATGAGGGACCTGGACCCAGCCCAGGTGTGGGGAGGGAAGGAGCCTAGCAGCATGGGCAGGAAAGAACCAGGCCTGGCCTGGCCTGGGATGTCTCAGGTGAAGTGCTGCTGGCTATCCTTGGCCCCAGCCCAGGGGTGGGGTTCCAGTCCCACTGCAGCCAGGCCTTGGGCAACAGGATGGTCAGTGGTTCCCTGGCCTAGTGCTGGTGGTACAGTACATCTCATGGATCTGGATCCCAAGGGCCCTGGACTGAAGCTGAAGGTAGGTGGGGGGCATCTTCCCCCTTAATAGGGAAATAGGTATTCCAGGTCCTCTACCCTCCGCATCTCCTCCAGCCCAATGGACACAGTTTTCCGCTGGGGTTCCTTGCGCTGCACTGTGATCTGGATGGGGTTGTTCTCAGGGAAGCTGTTGAAGTCGGTGGCCACAGTTGCAAACTGGAGTGAAACAAGAAAACCCCTCAGCATCCCTTCTCAGATCTCTGCCTGCTCTTTCTCTTATTCTCTGTCACCCCCTTTTTGTCTCCTAGACATCTTTATCCTAAATAGTCGGGTATATAGGAAACAGGTCCAAGGAAGCCATCTATCTCCCCAGTTACATCGTGTTTCCCACCAGAGGGCTCTCCATTCTGGCCTCACCACTTCCCCCTCAATCCTGGCTTCCCCCAGCCTGTTCCCTCTGTCTCCCTTTACCTTGTCTGCTCTGTTTCCCTCCATGCCCTTGATGTTCTGGCCACTCACAATCAGTGGTACTAATATGAGGTTTCCAGTAACCAGTGGCCTTGGAAGATGAGCCTCACAGGGATGATGAATACAAGAGTGTGCATTCCTGGGAGGCCCCGGAGTAGCTTAATCCCTACTCCTCCCAGGAGGAGGTAACCTGGAACCGTGTGTTGGCTCAGGCAGAAGGAAAGCTAGCGAGGATATGAGTTATGGGGGTACTCCCAACCCCCAGAGCCCTGCTCCCTCAGTTCAGACGTCTCCCTGTCCCTGGGCCCCTCTGCTCCCGAGGCTCACTTTGTAGGGCTTGCACCACTTTCCCGCTCCGGCCGCGTTGACCGCGCGGACGGTGAGGCAGTAGCTCGAGTTAGGCTTCAGCTCCATCAGCTTGACTGTAGTGCCTAAGATCTTGTTGAAGATCCAAGGATGGTTCACGGTCTTGGAGGACAGATTGTTGTTTTGCTTGGCCACCTCCTGTAACAGGACCTGGTAGAAACTGACCTGCTGCTTGCCCAAGGCATATGTCCAGGAAATCTGGGGGAAGAGAGAGCCCCAAGATTCCTCAGAATGGCCTTGCCCTGCCCAGCCCTCCCTGGTGTGGATCAGAACACGCTACCACGTGCCCTGCCCCTGCTGGAGCTCCTGGGGGTTGGATGGATCATGTGCGGCTCTCCAGCCCCGGATGGGCCAGCAGCGTGTGTTGCTCTCCCTCAACCTCAACAAAACAGCAGGTGAGCTTAGGCACGCGAAAGCATGAGAAGCTCTGGGCTAGGCCCTGGGCCCAATGAGGCTATTCATTTTCTCCCACTCTTCCCAGCTATTAGCTTGTGCTAGCGTCAGCCCCTCCATGAATCCCTTTTCTCCACCTCCAGATGTTGAAATCCTACTTCTGTGTCCCAACTCGGATGTTACCAGATGCCTGCCACTAGAAGTAATGTTCCTGGTGGCACTTAATCTAGACTTTTCTACAGCACGGAGCCCTTTGTCTCGGCTGGAGTTTCATACAGACACGCTCTCTTTCCCCATAGCATGGGCTGAGTTCAGGATGGAGGTGCTAGAGGCATTTCGCTCTGCCTGCCCAGCTCGGCTCAGTGCCCAGCACGGATGTCGGGCCAGGGACACGCACCACAGCTGTGGAATCGCTGACGGTGTGCTCATAGATGAAGGGGGCCTCCGGCAGGTCCATGACCACAGAGCATTCTGAGTACGTTGAGGAGGTGTCCGTGTCCAGCGCAGGGTTGTCAAGGTCCAGCAAGCCCCCGGGAGCCAATTGGGACTTAGATGGGTTGGGGCAGAGGGCCAGGTCCCCTCCCTTTTCTGTATTCTTGGCCAGCGAGGATAAGCTGAGTTTGTTCAGCTCACCCTCCAGCATGCCTGCAAAGAAGCTGCTGTTGGGTTGGGTCACAGCCAGCTTGATGGGATTCAACAAGGTTCTCGACATGGGGGTGATGCTGGTGTCATCAGAGCTGCATTCAGAATCTTCCATTGGCATCGGCTTCCTGGAGTGGGAGAAGACAGGTGAGGCAGATGAATGGCCTCCCTGCCCACTCAGCAGAGGCCACCTGTGGGCCTTAACAAACCACATCCCCACTGTTTCTGGACTGCTTAGAACATTCTTTATTATGATTACTATTTAATTTTGCCAAGAGAGGGCATGTGTGCTTGCCA